GTTTTTTTACATATTTTAAGGTTTTTTAAAAATGTATACAGGGTGTTTGGAAAAATCATTGGTCATTGATTAATCACGATCCTGCTTAAAGCGCTTGACGTACAAAGCTGATTTTTGGAAAACGGATTGACTTTAGGGTGTAGAGGGTTCTATAAGAAGAGATTTTTTTTCGAAACTCGAATTCTAAGGGGGTGAAACCACCCCTCAAATATTAGAATATTTTTTATTTAAAACCCGGTGAGTTTTTCGAAAAACTCTTAAACACGTATATTTTATTTTGTTGTTTTATATATTTTAAGATTTTTTAAATATTTATACAGGGTGTTTCATAAAATATGACCATTGAGTAATCACGATTCTGCTTAAACTGCTTTACGTTTAAAGCTGATTTTTGGCAAACGAATTGACTGTGGGGTAGAGGTTCGATAACGAGGGGTTTCTCGAATCTCAAATTCCAGGAGGGTGAAAACGCCCCTCAAATATTACAATATTTGTTATTTAAAAAACGGTTAAAACGGTTTTTTTGGAATTTTTTTAAAAAATCATACTATGGTGATGATATGATATTTCTTTTTGGAACACCCTCCAAAAAGTTGGGTAATTGATTAACCACGATTCTGCTTAAACTGCTTGACGTAAAAAGCTTATTTTTGGCAAACGGATTTTTCGAAAGTCAAATTCCAACGAGATGAAACTACCCTTCAAATATTACCAAGTTATATAATAATATCGCCATATTGTTTTTTCTCATGCTGACATAAATGTGAGAAAATTTTATCCAGTTTGTACCTATGTTAATGGAAATTCTTGCTTTGCTTTATCATTGCCATTACAAATGATTAATTCGACGCGAACGAAGTCGCGGGTACACGCTAGTTATTATTATAAGATATTACAATATCTGTAGAGGAAGTTATAGTTTCAGTTGAAACCATAAAGACTGTTAAAGTCGAATTAAAATTTATACCAGGTAATCTAACGTAAACCGATACAGTGGGAAAGCTTATAGTTATTTGTATGTAGACAAAACCAACATACTTATCTGCTTGTTCCCGACACCTTTTCTGTTCTCTTCGGTAAATACTAAGATAAGTGAGTAACTGACGTCGTGTGGAAAAATACAATGCAAGAACTGCAAAAAATTATCGTTCTTCAACAAACCTGACATGCAAATTTAGTTTTTTTTATCAACTTTATAGAAGTCTGGAATCTCCCAAGATCGATGAGAATTCAATAGATCAATTTCAGGTCTTTCTCTTCTGTACAAATTAGAAAAAATCTATAAAAATATTTGGTCACCTATAATTGTTATGATCGCGCATATCGTTGCTTAACATCGATGATTGATAACGTACTTTAAATTAACGTACTTCCTATAAATTTTGATTCCCTTGAATGTCCAAATATAGTTTTTTGCGGCATAAACAGCCGTACCTTTTGGTTATCGGTAGTATATCGGTTGGCGTTTACTTAGCTAGTCTATTCCGCTGTACTGTTCGGGTCGCTCTCAGGGGTCGGATAAAGCGGGTGTGCGACCGAAGGAAATATATATTATTTCAGAAATCTGCCTAAAAGCCCGATCCTGTCGTGTTAAACCACACCCAAAATTCCAAACACACGTGCTTTGATTAAGGCTTGCAGAGCTTCAACATTTGTCATAAAATAGCGAGGAATTTGTTTCAAAACCATATAATTATATATCACTATAATCACAAAACTTCAATCTATTTCCGTATTGTAACGGAATTTTAAATGTATTTATTTTCGAGAAAATTTATTCTAAATATAAGGAATATTTTGTTGATGTTTGACCATCAAAATCTTAAAAATAAAGAAGTTATATAAAAATGTGCTACAATACCGACATATGGCACTTTGGAAAAGTATAAACGGGATTAATAATTTTAGAACAATGAATTTTTCTCAAAATATTAATAACAAAAAAGTTTTTCCTTTTGTAAAGAGGATCCAGGGACATACTGTATAATAACTCTCAAACCAACGACCTTGTTCCTAGGCCTTCGCATGCAACAAGGCAAGAGTCAGGCAATGCCCCCCAAGCAGACAAAGACTGACTCGCCATTTCGTTCGTAAACAATGAGCCAAAGTTCGACATCGCTTCACTGGTTCAGAACCGAAATTATCCCGCCAACGTCTTGATTATATACTGGATGTTCGTAATTAGGGTGCCAGTTAGATAGCGATTTATAGTGTCGTTTGTTATGAGCAACCAAAACGATTTTTTTAAAATAGAAACATTTGGTTAATATATAAATATCACTTTCTTAGAAAATCTCAAGATTAACCTGAAGATTATTATATGAACCTTTAAAACTGGCTCTTAGAGCTTGGCAAAAAGCCTGGGTCTTTGACAACTATTATAATGTAATATACACTCAGACGCAACGGGGAAATTTTTGGTCAAATTTCAAATATTATATTTTTGTTATTTTTAACCCTATTTTCATAACTTTTTTAGCAAGCTGTATATAATTACATCAACTTTAATTCGTAAACACACTTTTTTATCAACTTTAGTATTTGGCATATTATACAGGGTTAATCGAGAGGTTGTTTTTTTACCCTAACTTTAAAACACCCGGTGCAATAATTTCGTGTGTAAATTTTCCTAAAATATAATTTTACGGTCTGAACCATGCCAAACCAAACCAAACCAAAATAAAATGCTCCAAAGTCATGGTTCTGACCGTAAAATTATATTTTAGGAAAATTCACACACGAAATTGCACAGGGTGTTTTAAAGTTAGTGTAAAAAACAACCCCTCGATTAACCCTGTATAATATGCCAAATACAAAAGTTTATAAAAAACTTAATTAACGATATAATTATGTACAGCTTGCTAAAAAATTCATGAAAATAGGGCTAAAAATAACAAAAATATAAATTTGACCAAAAATTTCTCCGTTGCGTCTTTTTTGCATCTGAGTATCTAATTATATGTGTTATACAGATATACAGGATCCATAATTGAAAGCTGAATGGGTAAATTATACGTAAAGTGACAGCATAAGGAAGTTGCACAATTTTCTGAAGGCGTCCAATCGAAGGAAATGAAATCTAAATAGCGCATTTTTTGCCTGTCCAACATATATCACTGATCTGGTTAGCTGCAACGGTAATTACAGGCGAAAAACTTGAAATCCACTTACTATATACGAAATGTATGCTATTCGTTTATTTGCATTGATTACGCCTATGTAGGTAAATTAATAATAATCAGAGAATTAATGGGAAATACCACGGATTTGGCTTTAGATATTAGTAGGTAGTTCAAATTTTATATAACAAAGTCAGGTTAGTTAAACCATTCATAAAAGGAAGGAGCATAATGTTATTCATGTATTCATGCATGGTGGGCGGAAAAAGGACTCTAGGGTGGGGATCCTTGACAGTTCTGTTTGACGATTCATTTGACACATTTGAATTTGATTTGAAATTTTGTGGATTTGTCAGTCTTTACGGAGCTTATTTTATGTTATTTATTATTTATTTTACTACTGATAGTTGTATAAAGGTAGTAAATCTAGATGGAAATTGTGACAGAACTTATATTAGCAATGACACTATCGCGATTTATCGAAAAAGACTGTAAAATAGTTGGTTGTGTAGCGTGCGGTAGATCTCGACAAAAATCGAGTGAAATAATGGAACAACTTTTCGCTAGTAAGTGACTATATAATATACATATACGTGTAGTAAACCGATTATTTATGAAATTCACTTAAATTAACTAATTATATATTTTTTCTTGCATTTTTGCTTTTATTTACTACTTGTCAAAGATTAGATGTCAAAGAATTTAGATACGTCAATTTGACTTACCTGCTTCAGTAGCGTATCGGACGTTTGTGTTAATAAATAATTATTGAAACTTATCTATTTTTATTATAATAATATGTTTTTATAACAATTTTAATAACTACCAACATTTATTCACAACGTAAAATAAAAATAAAAATTATTGAGTCTACCCTACACCATAGTTTTACATTTTTTAAATAAAATTAGAACGACACTGATAAACCGGAATTTAAGCCGGCCATATTTGAGTCCCATCGCGGTGGACCTAAGATTTTTGATATGCTCCTTCCTTAGAAGCTGCTCCTCCATAACTTAAGAACGACTGGACGAGTTTTAGTGATTTTTTAACTCTATTAGGGTGTATTCCGTTGCTTACCTTGGTTATGGTTTTATGTTCCGTTTCTATCGGTTTCCTGAAAATTTTCTTATTACGGAACACAGTCATGGAACACGGTTCCTGAAAAATTCGGTTATAACTGTCATCAAACTAACCAGCGTGAAGCGCGAGAAGGCTGGTTTTTCTGATTTTGTTGTCAATCAATGTCATTTATGTGACAGAAATCAAGCAAATATTGGAAGTTCGAGTGAAATTCTCATTCAATATCTAAAATTTGTAATAATGAATTTATTTACATCTAAAAGCAATGGAGGTAGGCAGTAAAGGTAAATAAATTTCATTAACTAAATAGAATGACTTTTTAGGACCATTTAAACTTATCCTGCAGCCATTGTTTCTTAAAGTCAGGAACATTTAAAGGAAACATGAAAAACAAGATAACAACTAATAGTGAATGTTTTGTAAGCTATAAAAATATAAATATTGATTAGATTTGTTTATTTATTGCTGATCTGTTTTAATATTGGACCTGCAAATCTTCACTTGAGCTGTCTAACGAGTTTAACAGTTTATTAATAAAGTACTTTTTAATATTAAACTCCATTGAAAAGAAGAAGCAAACGTAAAAGTAGAGAATAGGTACATTAAAAATGCATAAAAGATAAATTTTATAATAGAGGTATTGAAATTTAGAAAATGTCAACATTTGACATTTCCAATATTTTACCAAACCGTTCCGTATCAAACCGATGTTTTTCAGGAACCGCTCTTTATCGTAGTTTACCTGTCTGGTTCGCCTTAGACAATATAGGTTATAACGACGCCTTTTTTTCTTTTCAGATGATGAAACACGTGCAGCTTTCTCCTTACCGGAGCAGAGCTGACACAGTGTCCATCAGTTCCACCACTTCCTACGGCAGCCTAAGTCCAGAACCTTTGGGGAGCAGGTCTTCTAGCTACTCGTCATTGAGCGAATCCTCAATACAGGTAAGGAACACATTGATACAGTTATTAATAGGAGTCATATACCCAGAAAGCTTCATTGTCGATGTCGTCTAAGACTTATATTTTTTCTTAGTAATAATTTCCTTGCTATCTTACTCATCGACACCTTGATATAAAGTGCAAACCTGTCGCTTCTTTTTATTGTGTTTTAATGGACGTACATCGCAATAAAAAATTCAAAAAAAGGGTTTGGTATTTACTGCAGTATGATGATACCACCATGATTTTTATTATTTTATTTTCTTCCGAATTACAAATATTTGTGTTGTTCTTGGATTGATAATATTAAATATACCTTTAGTAAATCGCGTAGATGTTTACTTTCACTGTGCTGGAATCTACTTTTGAAATTATTAGACATCCAACACCGCCTTTTTTCTCTTTATCTCCTTCGTTTTGCAATAATGATCGTACTAGCAGCCGCTATTAAAAATACTTCGGTATCGTCCATGTCCGAACAGCACGAACGCAAGCACTACATGACAATGTGGCCGCTGTTGCTTGCGAGCCGAAAGATCTTGAGAAACACGACAAACAGGAAGCGCAAGCAACGCAAGCACAATCAGAAGCAAGAGCGCGAGCAGGATCACGAGCAATGTGGACGCAGCTTAATAAACGACGGCGAATGCAGATTCTGTGGGGAAAATGGGAAAACACCAGAACACCTTATCACTGAGTTGCCGAGACGAGAGGAGTAGATGGAGAACTAACCTCTGTAAAATCGTCTCAAATACTGGCTTTCATCAAAGCCCTGAAACTGTATGATGAGTTAAAACTACTCAAGAAAAGGAGAAACAATAGATGTATAAGGTCGCGATAGCCGTATTCTCAACTAAACTAGTACTACACATGTTATGGTACGCGTGACATCTGGGTTAATGTCACAAAAAGAACGAACTTTCAAACAGTTTCATTAGGCAATGTTACACTAATTATTGTCGAGCAAGAACCACCCGTATGTGAGTGATTTCTTGCTTCTCCTTAACGGTAAACGTCGCACCGTATGCGAATCTTTCAGAATTTTACTACCTGATGACGTGTTGGGCGTGAGAAACTTTGCTTGTTGCCTTGAAAGGCTGATGGCAGATGATGCCTTGTACACCGGTAAAATTATTCTAGACTATTTTTAATCTATGCTACCTTATTCAATAAAAGGCTTATCTATTTTTATTGCTATTAAATAATTATTTGTTTATAATTTTCGCTTAACTAATCTACATAATCTATACTAATATATAAAATCCTTAAGTGACTGACATACTGATTAATCACGATCCTGCTCAAACCACTCAACGTAAGAAGCTCAATTTTGGCATACAAGTTGATTCTAGGGTGTAGAGGTTCGATAAGAAAGGATTTTTCGAAATTCCAGTTCCAAGGGAGTAAAAACACCCCTGAAATATTACAATATTTTTTATTTAAAAACGGTTAAATTAACGATTTAAAAAAGTTTCCGAAAAAAAACTCTTAAACACGTATATTTTATTTTGTTTTTTACATATTTTAAGATTTTTTAAAAATGTATACAGGGTGTTTCGGAAAATCTGGTCATTGATTAATCACGATCCTGCTTAAAGCGCTTGACGTAAAAAGCTGATTTTTTGAAAATGGATTGACTTTAGGGTGTAGAGGGTTCGATAAGAAGGGATTTTTCAAAACCCGAATTCTAAGGGGTGAAACCACCCCTCAAATATTAGAATATTTTTTATTTAAAAACCGGTGAGTTTTTCGGAAAAACTCTTAAACACGTATATTTTATTTTGTTGTTTTACATATTTTAAGATTTTTTTAAAAATGTATACAGGGTGTTTCATAAAATATGACCATTGCGTGAGCGATCTAGTAGTAAAGAAAAATATTGGATTAATAGATTACTCGTCGTAGCTCATTCTCCCTACCTTTACAAATAAGTATCTCTGTATTACCCACTTCTTTGGGATTTTTGTAAAATAAAAATTTTTTTTTTGCTATACTGAATAAAAAGCTGAAAATTCTGAAGGCCGTTCCCCGGGGTCACAAGATGGATGGAATAGATGCAGTTAGACCACATGCCACTCGACACCATGAGAACATCCGATGGGAACTAGCTTCTCTGGTTACGTGTCGTCTCTCTTATTTCACCATCGGCTCCCACGACGAAGACAGAGATAAGAAATGGTACCCGAAACAAAACAATAGTTTTTTCAAGTACCATACGAACTGGGTGCAACATACCTTTGTATTCGATTAATATGAAAGTTATCAAATTATAAGAGAATACTCTATGTTCTCTACAGTATGTCCCCAGATTGTCTTTACAAGAGGAAAAACCTTTTTATTATTGATTATTCTTCATGAAAATGTTTGCTTGTTTGGTTAATCCCAAATTATTAAAATAGAAAATATGGTGAATTTTTCCTAGAAATTCCTAAAAACCTATCAAAAAACGTTTCTATGGCAATATAATTTCGATTTCATTCGTTGAATGACTATTAGAGCTACAATTTAAAAATATTTTTACAAGAAGGAACACCCTGTATATTATTCTATTTTTAGATTTCACAAATGAAACAAAGGTAAATTTGATTAAGGTTTATCACACTTAAATCTTACCGTTTTTGAAATATTTTCAATTTTGTAAAATTGCAGTAAAAAAATTAAGGTTTCCATTTCCCCAAACGTATCAAAGTTTTTAATACTTAATATTTACTGAAGATTATTTATTGATCAAATATTTTGTTGCAAAAATAAAAATTATACTACCTCGTACAGAGTGTCCAAAAAATTATTAAATAATTTCTAGCTTTAAACGGCAATAACTTGTTTAATTTAAATGGAACACCCTGTATAGTTTAGGAGAATCAGATGAACAATTTAATTGTCTATCAAATTATATTATACCATTTTTTACCTATCTCTTTAAGTTTTCGTAGAAAATGCATTTTCTTATAATTTAGACCTAATTTATCACTATACCCGTGGAATATTGACATTTTAGATTTTTTTAAAGCATTTGTTTACAAAAAGAAAACTATTTAAATCTTTCTAAATGAGTATACCAATTAAACATAATAATAATAATAGCTCCCGTATATAGCGTTTAACGCCTTGGGAGTAGCAAGGTACAGCTTGCCATACTAGAGCTGTTCTGTATACAAGGAAGGTAATGTGGCTAGTACTACGCTTCAACCGCCTATTATTACCTCAGGATTGTGAATCCCAAGTACTCATTTAAGGCTGAGTCGACCTAGGTACCCAAACTATTTTTATTTTAATAAAAATAGTCGGCTGATGAATGTCGGGTGTGGGATTCGAACCCACTACCTTGAGATTGGTAGACAAGAGCCTGTATCTCTACGCCACCGGGCACCTATTAAATATACCACCATTATTTCCGCCCAAAATTAGTTAATTACGTACCTAACTGTTTTAATAATTAAATTATTCTAAATAAATATGGATTTGACTCAGAAAGTAATATAATAATAAGTTATGAAAATGAACGTCTCTGTTGTTATAAATAAGCATTCGTCAAAAAATGAAATAAAACATTTATAAACTTTTATAAGGTGTTACTTTTTACCATACTGTCTAATACACATACAAAATTCAGTTTTTTAGTATTTGGAGTAACTATTATTAATCAACGTAAACAGTCAATTAATGTAATTTGAATATTGGGATCATATTAACTGGTCCTCTTTAACAAAAAATATTTAGACAGTTTTTTTTATATTTTCTTTAATGAAATAAGCGAACTATTATTGTGAATCTTAGTCCCCTGAGACTCTTAATTGTTCCCAGGCAAAGAAAAACATGAAGAATAGCGAAATAATGATCTATTTAATGACCGTTTTTTGTAACAGAGGGAACGTACCGAGAGCTAAAATAAGAATTGAAAAAAGGTTGTCATAAAGTTTGTTTTATTTACGTTTCTACCGAGGTAAAAATAGATTACTTTTGGGCTGTGTCCATCTGTTCCATTTAAGTTTTATTTTCATACTAAAGGAGCTCAAAAGGTGCGTTTGATCTCTTGTTATTGTTTTTATTCCTATGAAAATAGTTCTGTTTTAGGTTTTCAATATACATAAGTATACGATTGATACAAGGAAGGTAATGTGGCTAGCATTTTACGCTTCAACCGCCTATTATTACCTCAGGATTGTGAATCCCAAGTACTCATTTAAGGCTGAGTCGATCTAGGTACCCAAACTATTTTTATTTTAATAAAAATAGTCGGCTGATGCAATGCCGGGTGTGGAATTCGAACCCACTACCTTGAGATTGGTAGACGAGAGCCTGTACCTCTATGTCACCAGGCACCTTAAAACTGCTCATCGGGACAAAAATCCGACGATACCACATAGAAGAAATGTATTAACCCTTTTTTTTGTTTCTTTTTAGTATGTTTGATTTTTCCAGTAAGATATCTCTATCATTATTTTAACACATTAAAATCCAGACCACAGATTTAAGATGATCAGATAGTTAGGGTTTCCAAACCGGGATCCCAAACTCCCGATATTAAATCCCTGGATCCTGAAAATCTCGAAAAATTTAAATGCCCAATTTAAAATGATTCGACTTTATACACTTTGGTCTTTCAAAGATCATATTGCCAAGCCTTGTACATAAGTAACGGCGTCAAAGGGGGCTGGGGTATGGCAATCGGTGAGAATTTTGGCGAGGTCATGCACTAAACGTCATTACTTGGCCCGTATTTATTGGCCCCACTCGTTTTTTATTTTTTAATGACCCTTACTGCCAGTTGGTTAGGTTGTTCAATCATTAAAAGTCATTAAAATGATTTAAATCAAAAAAAGACTAAGGGTGTATTCCGTTGCTTACGTTGGTTATGGTTTTATGTTCCGTTTCTATCGGTTTCCTGAAAGTTTTCTTATTCCGGAACACGGTTCCTGAAAAATTCGGTTATAACCAGTGTCACCAAACTAACCAGCGCGAGAAGGCTGGTTTTTCTGGTTTTGTTTGTCAATCAATGTCAT